AATTTCTTTAGAGCAGATTAAGTATGTCTGAGTGGTTTATGATTAGAAAATATGTTTTGTTTCCTCCCAAAATAGAAATATTACAGACAAGTTTTTTTTCTAAAGAAATCATTAGTACTTATCACACCTGTATATATGTGTCAGCCTCTAGTGAGATAGACATAAAGCTGTCTCTGTGTCTTATGATATGAAAACTTAAACAACTCAACAAACTGTCCCTATATCCTACTTAGATTATCTCCATTCAGCTGAACACAGCCTGTTCCTTATTCAGTTAAGGTGGAAGCTGTTGTCCAGCCTGCAGGTATTCAGGGATGACCTTAGAAATTTAAGACACCCCATGCAAAACCTAGCAGTGAGGTTCTCCACTATGTGAATGTGAGTGATTGTCTATGCCAGATATCCCATATGTGTGCACTGTCAGCATGTGTATATGCCAGATGTCTAGTGTGTATCATACCTCCCAACATTTGCCTTATTAAAGGACCACTCTAGGCACCCAGACCACTTCAGCTTAATGAAGTGGTCTGGGTGCCAGGTTCCTCTAGGATTAACCCCTTTTTTTTATAAACATAGCAGTTTCAGAGAAATGCCCATGTGCATTCAGCCGAAGAGGAGGAGAGGAGGAGGAGAGCTCCCTGCCCGGTGCTGGAATAAAGGTAAGTTTAACCCCTTTCCTCCCCATCCAGCCCGGCGGGAGGGGAACCCTGAGGGTGGGGGCACCCTCAGGGCACTATAGTGCCAGGAAAACAAGTATGTTTTCCTGGCACTATAGTGGTCCTTTAATGGAGGAAATACCTGAAAAAAGACCATGTCAGGTTAACTAACAATTCACTATGGCCAGCCGCATTCGAGGACGGAATATGCCGAAGCCTCAAACACTCTGCACATCACGAACGTGTCTAATGACTTGTTTTCACTGCTCTGTTTAAGGAAATTTCCCTGGTTATTCCACTTTTATGGCTTTGCATTACTCTTTGCAACACAAAATTTACCAGCTGTTTCTTTGCAATCACTGTGTGTTTAAAAATTTTGAGGTCACTTTGAACAACTTGTGTCTGTGTCAGTTTATGGTGGCTTCACCAGCGCTGGAAAGAGTTTGTAAGACAAATCAGAGATTGATAAATTAATAGAAGTCCATGGGAAATTAAGTAATTTTTACTTGAAGCATTTTTCACCAGATTAACAGTGGGTATACTATAGTTGTTTGTGTTTATATGAGTAGTCTGCTCTGAACTTGTACCTCCAGCGGCTCAACAATACACTAACATTGATCCTTCAAGGTTGCGTGGCAGACTATGGCTAGTTCAGGGCTGTTCTGCAGGGGTCAGCAGGCAATGTTTGGCGTGGGGGCAAGTACAATTGAATTGCCTTTTTTGTGCAAAAACAACCATACACATCTCAGTGTAGCTGGTCTTTCTGACTAACAGCCATTAGAGGCACTTGCGCAGCAACAACCGAGTTTCAGTCAGTCGTGTGACATTCACTGTCCTAGAGAACAGTGGACGTCACCAGCTCATAGGGAAGCTTTGTATTTAGTACTTCTGAATGTGAAGCAGTTGCCTGGATGGGCGCTTTGCACTCTCCATGCATGCGCACCTCATACCTAATGCTTCTCTCTGAAGATGATGTCGCAGGAAAAGGAGCGGATGGCAGCTCCTAGTGAGTCTCGGCACTGGGAGAATTTAAGAAAAAACTTTTTTCGTATTTCTTCCAGGTCAAAAGGTAAGTAAAACCTTTTTTTCACTAATGATGTCAGATCCTGGCAGCATAGCTCTGTGAATGGCTGTGTATGAGGAGTAAGGGCTTGCCTCCATGACCCTGTTCTGACCCCGTAAAGAACCCTGGTGGTTGCCTGTAAGGGAAGTGTGAGACAGGGAACATGCTTATGCCACTATGTATCAATAAGTGTGTGTCAGTGATTGTGTTTGTTCATTTTGAAAACGTCAAGTCTTAATAAAAAAAATATGCATATATACAAAAATACATATACAAATGTATATTAACGTATATACATATATATTATTATACGAGGAAAACAAAAAGAATTAACTTAGGGCCAAAATTTAGATATCACAAGGTGGAGGGCACAAAAAAAAAGGGGGGTGAAGCCCGTAGCCAACACAGTATGACACCAACCAGACGTGCTAACAAACATATAGGGCACACCACTGTAAGAATCAATATGAGTGACATACAGACGACCAAAATAACGATGAAACAGCCGGAAGGACATTAGGACCGCAATAGGTTAACGGTTTTTAATGATATATAAATGTAAAACGCATTGTAAGGAACTAGTTTTTGTTCATGTTTGATCTTGGGACCAGAAAGGCCCTAAAAATTGGAAAACAACACCAAAAGGCTCACTGCAACCGGATTTCCTGACATACCTTTCAATCTTCTCTGTATAACGAACTATAGTATATGTTGCAGACAGGCCCCTGCGAGGGCCACTTATTGTTGTACAGTGGTACTTGGTGTTGAAACAAAAAAAAAGAAATAAAAAATAAAAAAAAAGGGGGGTAACCCCTAAATGGTGAATATCATAGAGAATAAACAAAAAAAGAAAAAAATACCATTCTACCTGTGGATGATTTACTGAGAAGATTATACAATCTTATACAATCTTCTCAGTAAATCATCCACAGGTAGAATGGCATTTTTTTCTTTTTTTGTTTATTCTCTATGATATATACATATATATTATAAGCATATATATGATATATATATATATTTGCTTATAATATATACCAGATATTAGTATAATATCTGAGGAACAATCCAATTTTAAAAGCTGATATTAGTTTTTAGCGTTTTGGGTATTCCTTTACCCCTTTAGATGCCAGCCGCACAACATCCAAACATAAAAATAAAGTTTTCTGACCTTTTTTCTCCTGTATTAATTAATCTTGTCACCGCTTTGCATGGCCCCTGGGAGACTGTGAATGACAACTGTCCTCTCCACTTGCTCCAGTTGCCATGTCTGCGCCAATCAAGTGAGGGTTAAAGAGACACATACAGGTGAAAACACATGTGGCTTGCAAAATGCATTTTTGCCTGTGTAGCCAAAAATACTTGCACCGGTGCTGTGTACCAGCGGCGTACATACCGCGGTCGCAGGGGTAGCAGCTGCGACCGGGCCCGGCACTCCAGTGGGCCCGGCCGCCCTGCGGACCCCTGCGACCGGGTACCAGGCCTGCTGCCACATTTTGTGGCCCCGGCCCGCGCGGCAAACCGCCGGGGCCTCATATGGAGGGGTCCATCGGGTGGCTCATGCTGTCAGGGCCACCTGATGGATATGGATTGTGAGGGGGCCCGGTCTGCGCTGGGTGCTTTAACAACTCGACCGGGCCCCCTGTGATTCCATCATCGCTGGGAGGTGATTCCCTGGTCACTCCTCCCAGCATACTGAGAGCCCATGCAGGAGGAAGGAGGAGTAGGAGGGAGTCAGAGGGGGAAGTCTGACTCCTATCAGGCTGAGCCACCATTGGACCCCAGGGAAAGTAACAAGGTAGGAAACATTTTGTGTTTGTGTTTCTCTGTATGTATGTGTGTCTGTGTCTCTGTATGTGTATGTGTCTGTGTGTGTCTGTGTCTCTGTATGTGTGTGTCTCTGAATGTATGTGTGTCTGTGTGTGTGTCTGTGTCACTGTATGTATGTATGTGTGTGTGTCTCTGTGTCTCTGTATGTATGTATGTATGTGTGTGTGTCTCTGTGTGTCTGTGTCTCTGCATGTGTGTGTCTGTCTGTATGGGAGTCTCTCTGTATGTCTGTGTCTCTGTATGTATGTGTGTGTGTCTCTGTATGTATGTATGTCTATGTATGCAGTGGCGTACACACAATCCATGGGGCCCCGTATGTATGTGTCTGTGTCTATGTATGTGTGTGTGTCTGTGTCTCTGTATGTATGTGTCTGTGTGTATATAAATGTGTGTGTCTGTATGTATGTGTCTGTCGAGGGATGTATGTTTGTGTGTGTGTCTGTCTGTCTGTGTGTATGTTTGTGTGTGTGTCTGTATGTATGTATGTGTCAGGGGGGATGAGGAGGCACAGATCGGGGGAGATAGGATAGCACGGATCGGGGGAGAGAGGGGAGGGAGGGGGGCCCACGGATCAGTTTCGCATCGGGGCCCCATGGATTGTGTGTACGCCACTGCTGTGTACTATGTATGAGGGTGTATATGCCTAGGTGTTCTCTTTGACTCCGACTTCTCCTTCAAGCCTCATGTTTAATCTATTGCCAGATCCTGTCATTTCCATCTCAAAAACATTGCGCTTCCGCCCCTACTTAACACCAGATGTGACTAAGGTGTTGGTCCATTCCACTGTCCTTTCTCGCCTTGACTACTGTAATCCGCTTCTCAGTGGTCTTACGTGCTCCCAACTTGCGCCGTTACAGTCCATAATAAATGCGGCAGCAAGGCTCATCTTACTGTCTGCCCGCACCTCCCATGCCCCACCCTTCTGTCAGTCCCTACGTTGGCTTCCTGTAAGAAATAGGGCTCAGTTTAAACTTCTTGTTCTTGCTTTCAAATCTCTACATAATGCTGCTCCCACCTATCTATCCTCCCTTATACACAAGTATGTCCCGTCTAGGACCTTACAATCTGCTGAAGACTTACGTCTATCTTTTGTCCGTACTCCCACCTCTGATGCTCGCCTTCAAGCAGGGGCGGACTGAGAGCCTTTGGGGCCCCCGGGCAAAATTAGATCCCAGGCCCTTTGAAGGCCAAATATATGTGCATTAAATAAATGTTAAATATAACTCATAAAACGGCATTCCTTTGGATGTGTATATTGCGAAGACCTGTGTATCAATGCATGTTTGTATTTGAGTCTGTGTGAATGCACTTGTGCATGTCTGAATGACTACATGTGCTTTTTTGTATATAGTGTCTGTGTGAATGCATATGTGACAGGTGACAGAGTGTGTGAGGGAGAAGGTGACAGGTGGAAGAGTGTGGGAGGTTGTGACAGGTGGCAGAGTGAGGGGGTACCTGGTGGCAGAGTGAGGGAGGGAGGGGTGGGTTGGTGGCAGAGTGAGGGGGAGACACAGTGAGTGGTGGTGACTGGTGACAGAGTGAGGGAGTGGGTGACTAGTGACAGAGGGATGGAGAGGGGGTGACTAGTGACAGAGGGATGGAGAGGGGGTGACTAGTGACAGAGGGATGGAGAGGGGGTGACTAGTGACAGAGTTAGGGAATGGGTGACTAGTGGCAGAGTGAGGGAGGGAAGAGGTGACTAGTGGCAAAGTGAGGGAGGGAAGAGGTGACTAGTGACAGAGTGAGGGGATGACTGGTGACAGAGTGAGGGAGTGACTAGTGACAGAGGGAGGTAGTGACTAGTGACAGAGGGAGGTAGTGACTAGTGACAGAGGGAGGTAGTGATTAGTGACAGAGTGAGGGAGGGGGTGACTGTCACTAGTCACCCCATCCCTCTGTCACTAGTCACTCCCTCCCTAACTCTGTCACTAATCACCCCCTCTGTCACTAGTCACCCCATACCTCTCTCTGTCACTAGTCACCCCATCCCTCTCTCTGTCACTAGTCTCTCCCTTCCTAACTCTGTCACTGTGAAGGAAGGGGTGACTGGTGACAGAGTGAGGGGATGACTGGTGACAGAGTGAGGGGATGACTGGTGACAGAGTGAGGGAGTGACTAGTGACAGAGTGAGGGAGTGACTAGTGACAGAGGGAGGTAGTGATTAGTGACAGAGTGAGGGAGGGGGTGACTGTCACTAGTCAACCCATCCCTCTCTCTGTCACTAGTCACTCCCTCCCTAACTCTGTCACTAATCACCCCCTCTGTCCCTAGTCACCCCCTTCCTCACTCTGTCACCCCATCCCTCTCTCTGTCACTAGTCACCCCATCCCTCTCTCTGTCACTAGTCACCCCATCCCTCTCTCTGTCACTAGTCTCTCCCTCCCTAACTCTGTCACTGTGAAGGAAGGGGTGACTGGTGACAGAGTGAGGGGATGACTGGTGACAGAGTGAGGGAAGGGATGACTAGTGGCAGAGTGAGGGAAGGAAGGGATGACTGGTGACAGAGTGAGGGGATGACTGGTGACAGAGTGAGGGAATGACTGGTGACAGAGTGAGAGAGGGGGTGACTAGTGACAGAGTAAGGGAGGGAGTGGGTGACTAGTGAGAGTGAGGAAGGGGGTGACACAGTGAAAGAGTGAGGAAGGGGGTGACCCAGTGAGGAAGGGGGTGACACAGTGACAGAGTGAGGGAGGGGTGACTAGTGACAGAGTGAAGGAGGTGGTGACTGTCACTAGTCACCCCATCCTTCCCTCTGTCACTAATCACCACCTCCCTCACTCTGTCACTAGTCACCCCTTCCCTCCCTCACTCTGTCACTAGTCACCCCCTCCCTCTCTCTGTCACTAGTCACCCCACCCTCTCTCTGTCACTAGTCACACCCTCTCTCACTCTGTCACTAATCACACCCTCCCTCACTGTCACTAATCACACCCTCCCTCTCTGTCACTAGTCACACCCTCCCTCACTCTGTCACTAGAGTGAGGGGGTGACTAGTGACAGAGTGAGGGGGTGACAGGTGACAGAGTGAGGGAAAGGGTGACTAGTGGCAGAGTGAGGGAAGGAAGGGGTTACTAGTGACAGAGTGAGGGGATGACTGGTGACAGAGGGAGGGAGGGAGTGGGTGACTAGTGACAGAGGGAGGGATGGAGTGGGTGACTAGTGACAGAGGGAGGGGGTGACAGTGACAGAGTGAGGGAGGTGGTGACTGTCACTAGTCACCACCTCCCTCACTCTGTCCATAGTCACCCCCTTCCTCACTGTCACTGGTCACCCCTTCCCTCCCTAACTGTCACTAGTCACTAGTCACCACCTCCCTCACTCTGTCCCTAGTCACTCCTCCCTCTGTCCCTAGTCACCCCCTCCCTCTCTGTGTCACTAGTCACACCCTCCCTCACTCTGTCACTAGAGTGAGGGGGTGACAGAGTGAGGGAAGGGGTGACTAGTGGCAGAGTGAGGGAAGGAAGGGGTGACAGAGTGAGGAAGGGGGTGACACGTGACAGAGTGAAGGAGGTGGTGACTGGCACTAGTCACCCCATCCCTCCCTCTGTCACTAATCACCACCTCCCTCACTCTGTCACTAGTCACCCCATCCCTCCCTCACTCTGTCACTAGTCACCCCCTCCCTCTCTCTGTCACTAGTCACACCCTCTCTCTGTCACTAGTCACCCCCTCCCTCACTCTGTCACTAGAGGGGATGACTGGTGACAGAGTGAGGGAGGTGGTGACTAGTGACAGAGAGAGGGAGGTGGTGACTGTCACTCTGTCCCTAGTCACCCCTCCCTCTGTCACTAGTCACCCCCTTCCTCACTCTGTCACTAGTCACCCCTTCCTCCCACACTGTCACTAGTCACCCCCTCCCTCACTCTGTCACTAGAGTGAGGGGGTGACTAGTGACAGAGTGAGGGAAGGGGTGATTAGTGGCAGAGTGAGGGAGGTGGTGACTTGACTGTCACTAGTCACCACCTCCCTCTGTCACTACTCCCTCCCTCCTTCTGTCACTAGTCACCCCCTCCGTCCCTTACTCTGTTACTATTCACCCCCTCCCTCACTCGCTCACCAGTCATCCCCTCCCTTTGTCACCAGTCATCCGCTCACTCTGTCAACAGTCACCCCTTCCTTCCCTCACTCTGCCACTAGTCACCCCTTCCCTCACTCTGTCACCAGTCATTCCCTCACTCTAGTGACAGAGTGAGGGAGAGGGTGACTAGTGACAGAGTGAGGGAGAGGGTGACTAGTGACAGAGTGAGGTAGTGATTAGTGACAGAGTGAGGGAGGGGGTGACTAGTGACAGAGAGGGGGGGTGCCTAGCGACACAGTGGGGGGTGCCTAGTGACACAGT